ATATATAAATATATATATATATATATATATATATATATATATATATATATATATATATATATATATATACATATATATATATATATATACATATACATATATATACATATATATGTATTGAATACTAAAATCGATGAAAGCGATACCATTGTGTCGTCGCCATCAGCAATAACTTAACATGCGACAGTTGTCATTTTATTTTTAGGGGTCGGGTTCTAACATTCACCCCACCCCCTTCACCCCCCACCCCACACGCCTACGTCACTAATCTCTAATCCCACGCTATTACAAAACATTCGTTGTATTCCACCGTGTGATTACCTTACATATTTTATACCTGTCTAAAGCCCTCACAAACTTCTCGATGGCTTGATCGCGTCAGATTGAGACGCTGGTAAGTGTGTCGCCCTATTAATAACGTTTTAAACGTCTCTTTCTATTTTAAACAAATCAATAATTTCCATTCTGTTTAAGAGTGGAGAGGGGTGGGGGGAGCTCTTATAGGGTGTCGTGTTAAACGGTGGCTGAGGGCGGCTTTTGAAACGGTAAACACTGCCACGGCTGTTTGAGGCTGTTTTAAGCTGTCAGCTGTCGTCTGTTGGGTTCTGTTTTATCGGGAGCCATTCTGTCATCATGTACTGCGGGTGTTTGGAGGCGTTGATATAAATAGGTTGAATGGGACTGTTGAATATAGCAGCGGTATTAGATGTGTGTTTAAATCTTAGAGTGGGTAAAAATATATCTGTTTGGTTTGTATGGTGTTGTACCCTCATGTCTATTGTCTAGTTGTACCGTCATCACTAGTTGTACCGCCATGTCTAGTTGTACCGTCATGTCTAGTTGTACCGTCATGTCTAGTTGTACCGTCATGTCTAGTTGTACCGTCATGTCTAGTTGTACCGTCATGTCTAGCTGTACCGTCATGTCTAGTTGTACCGTCGAGTTGATGTCTAGTTGTATCGTCATGTCTAGTTGTACCGTCATGTCTAGTTGTACCGTCATGTCTAGCTGTACCGTTATGTCTAGTTGTACCGTCATGTCTAGTTGTACCGTCATCTCTAGTTGTACCGTCATGTCTAGTTGTACCGTCATGTCTTGTTGTACCGTCATGCTGATGTATAGTTGTACCGCCATGTCTAGTTGTACCGTCATGTCTAGTTGTACGTCATGTCTAGTTGTACCGTCATCTCTAGTTGTACCGTCATCTCTAGTTGTACCGTCGAGTTGATGTCTAGTTGTACCGTCATGTCTAGTTGTACCGTCATGTCTAGTTGTACCGTCATGTCTAGCTGTACCGCCATGTCTAGTTGTACCGTCATGTCTAGTTGTACCGTCATGTCTATTGTCTAGTTGTACCGTCATCTCTAGTTGTACCGTCATGTCTAGTTGTACCGTCATGTTGATGTCTAGTTGTACCGTCATGTCTAGTTGTACCATCATCTCTAGTTGTACCGTCATGTCTAGTTGTACCGTCATGTCTGGTTGTACCTTCAATTCTAGTTGTACCGTCATGTCTAGTTGTACCGTCATGTCTAGTTGTACTGCCATGTCTAGTTGTACTGTCATGTCTAGTTGTACTGCCATGTCTAGTTGTAACGTCATGTCTAGTTGTACCGTCATGTCTAGTTGTACCGTCATGTCTAGTTGTACCGTCATGTCTAGTTGTACTGCCATGTCTAGTTGTACCGTCATGTCTAGTTGTACCGTCATGTCTAGTTGTACCGGCATGTCTAGTTGTACCGGCATGTCTAGTTGTACCGTCATGTCTAGTTGTACCGTCATGTCTAGTTGTACCATCATCTCTAGTTGTACCGTCATGTCTAGTTGTACCGTCATGTCTGGTTGTACCTTCAATTCTAGTTGTACCGTCATGTCTAGTTGTACCGTCATGTCTAGTTGTACTGCCATGTCTAGTTGTACCGTCATGTCTAGTTGTACTGCCATGTCTAGTTGTACCGTCATGTCTAGTTGTACCGTCATGTCTAGTTGTACCGTCATGTCTAGTTGTACCGTCATGTCTAGTTGTACTGCCATGTCTAGTTGTACCGTCATGTCTAGTTGTACCGTCATGTCTAGTTGTACCGGCATGTCTAGTTGTACCGGCATGTCTAGTTGTACCGTCATGTCTAGTTGTACCGTCATGTCTAGTTGTACCGTCATGTCTGGTTGTACCGGCATGTCTAGTTGTACCATCATGTCTAGTTGTACCGTCATGTCTAGTTGTACCATCAAGTTGATTTAGACATGTACCTAGTTATTATCAAAATGTCGTGTCACCTTATACGACATCATTTCAAACCTTAACATTCACATGCTCCAGTTAAGGAACCCGTTTATAAAAAAAAACCTCGACAAAAGAAATATCTGCCTGCTGTAAGAATCTACACTACCCTCACTAGGCTAAGGCGTTGGGGTTATTTTATTGGTCACGTCCCTGACCTTTAGAGCAGGTGCAGCGGAACTGATGTGGAATGGAACAATCTCGATACAGCTCGGCTAGTCCTGGCCTCGCAGACAGCCAGGTTCTGGGAGGTGAGGGGGGGGGGGGGGGGTAGGGCGGCTCATTTTCTTGGAATCCATTCGAGTTTTGAAACGAACGTGGAAGTTATATGGCCATTATGGACCTTAGGCCGGTGATCATTAAAACAAGTGGCTGTGATTGTGTTCTGCTGTGATTGTGATGTGTTGTGTTGTGTTGTGCGGAGTCGTGTAGACGCACCTTGCTGACGAATGCCGTTTTCATCCCCCGGGGGGTTAATTCCTGTTGTGGAGGATCCGGTAGGTTGGTGGTCTTGGTTATAGGTAAATACCCTGTGGGTCGACCACGCCACGCGCACCTACACGCAAACACACACGCACGCACACACATACACACACATACACACACACAAACACAAATACACACACGCACACACACACACAAACACAAACGCAAACACACACACAAACACATACACACAAACACACACGCAAACACGCACACGCACGCACATACACACACAAATGCTGCTGCCAGTAACATTTAATATTCGCATGCTAATATTAGTATCTACACATGTCCACTTATGCATGCATAAATAAATAAATACACAATGATGACGGTAATAATAATATTTGAGACATGTATGCTAATTTTATTATTTACATACATTCACACGTACACGCAAATAAACACAGAAGCTGATGGTGGTCGAATTTAATATTAATATGCATTAATAAAAATATCAACACATATTCACACACATACATATTCGCACACACGCACCAACACACACACACACACACACGGGTTTCTGATTGTAATGAATGTATGGGTCACACAATCATCATCATTCATAAGGACGCCTTCCTGAGTCAAGGGAGGCAACACACTCCCCCCCCTACCCCCCCCCCCCTTTTTTTTTTTAAAAAAAAAAATATCGGCGTTGAGACCGGTTGTATACCCTCTGTAGCTGATGCATACGAAGCTAGCGAGTCTTGTACAAACACACAAACTATTTTCCTAATTGAATAGGATAAAAAAAAACTACACACACACAAGACACACACACACACATACATTCACATATCCATACAAAGTATGTTGGTACTGATGTTGTCATGGTCCGTTTCACCTGCACCCGTTCACCCATGCGTGGATGCACATCATGCACCCACAAACATCAGATGTTAATGAAGATAATGAACACGAAAACTGAGTGCCGGCAACTTCAAAGGGAAATAACTTGTGTGAAAGTGACGTCACAAAAAATAAAATGTATTGCACGTTTTTCTTCCGGAACAAAAAATAAAAACACAAATAATTGGCGAATTTATGTTAGCTGTCATTAAAGAAACGGAAGTTAGATATTTACCGCAAAGAGTACTTTTTATTTATTTATTTTATTTATTTTTTTGCTTGGCGTATTTTAATTTCTTGAATACAATTACATTCGTTTGTGTGTTGTTGTTTCTTTATAACTCTGTTTTCTGGAGTTTAATTAGATTTTTCAAGTTTTGATTTTAAAAACGAAAAAGAAAAAAATGTGCTTTATTACGTTAATCAAAATTTTACATCAGAAGACAGCATTTCTAAAAAATATAAATGATCATTAATTTATTTCTTATTTTTTTTATTTTTTGCGAATGTCTTGTAATACGTGACTCATTCATTAAAAAAAATTGTCTATCTGTTCATCTATTTCTCTAGATATTTTTTCCACCTTTCAATCATATTTTCGTTTTTTACTTTCAGGGGAAAGAATCTAAATCAAGGCCCACAACTCCACGTTATTAAATAGCCTCAGTTTTTAATCAACATGGCTAAACCATCTATATTAACGTTCAACGGATAAAAAATATATTATTTTGTTTGCCAAGTCGACGTCACAGCGGATCTCACAATTGTAACCACTATAGGTAGCCTCTGGTAGCCAATGTGTTACTGGCAGTAGAGGTAGCCAGATAGATGTTTTAGGGCTGCTGCCATTACGATAACGAAAGTGATCTCCTGACAACAAAAGAGCCACTGACCCCAGGAAGTCTTTCCACAACACAGACCCCCCCCGGTAGACTAACCCAAAAGACCCCAAGTCTGACCCCTGACATCCAACCCAATAAAGTTTGACCACTGCGAGACTGTCCCAACCTGAATTGACCCCCGTAAGTCTGACCCCCAACCAGAACTGACCCCCGCAAGTCTGATCCTAACCTGAACTGCCCCCCCCCCCCTCCGCAAGTCTGACCCCCCCAACCTGATCTTACCCCCGTAAGTCTGACCCCGAACCTGAATTGACCCCCGTAAGTCTGACCCCCAACCTGAACTGACCCCCACAAGTCTGACCCCCCCCAACCTGAACTGACCCCCACAAGTCTGACCCCCCCCAACCTGAACTGACCCCGGTAAGTCTGACCCCCCCCCCCCGCAACCTGAACTGACCCCCGCAAGTCTGACCCCCAAACTGAACTGACCCCCGCAGGTCTGACCCCCCCCCCCCCCACACACACAGACCCGACCCCCCACGCAGGTCACGTGGTCCAGAAATGATGCCAGTGACTAGCAACCTGAACCTGAATGTCAACGTGACCCAGGGCGACACGTCACTGCACGAGACCGGAAATGAGGAGAGCAAGCTCATCCTCTTCGTCTGCTGGGGCATCCTCCTCCCCCTCATCGCCGCCATCGGCCTCGTCGGCAACATCCTCACCATGATCGTCCTCTGGCGCAAGGAGATGCACTCCACCACCATCCTCTACCTCAGGGGGCTGGTCGTCACCGACACGGGCATTTTGATTGGCTCGGTCATCACGCTCACCCCAATCAGGTAGGTCATCACGCTCACCCCAATCAGGTAGGTCATCACGCTCACCCCAATCAGGTAGGTCATCACGCTCACCCCAATCAGGTAGGTCATCACGCTCACCCCAATCAGGTAGGTCATCACGCTCACCCCAATCAGGTAGGTCATCACGCTCACCCCAATCAGGTAGGTCATCACGCTCACCCCAATCAGGTAGGTCATCACGCTCACCCCAATCAGGTAGGTCATCACGCTTACCCCAATCAGGTAGGTCGTTTGTTAGGTCATCACGCTCACCTCTATCAGATAGGTCATTAGTTAAAGTCATCACACCCCAATCAGGTAGGTCATTTGTTAGGTCATCACGCTCACCCCAACCAGGTAGGTCATCACGCTCACCCCAATCAGGTAGGTCATTGGTTAGGTCTTAAGGGTCACCCCAATCAGGTAGGTCATGTTTAGGTCATCATGCGGACCCTAATCGGGTAGGTCATTTGTTAGGTCTTAAGGGTCACCCCAATCAGGTAGGTCATTTGTTAGGTCATCAAGTTCATCCCAATCGGGCAGGTCATTTGTTAGGTCATCACGCTCACCCCAATCAGGTAGGTCATTGGTTAGGTCATCACGCTGTTCCCAATCAGGTAGGTCATTGGTTAGGTCATCACGCTCACCCCAATCAAGTAGGTCATTGGTTAGGTCATCACGCTGACCGCAATCAGGTAGGTCATTTGTTAGGTCTTAAGGGTCATCCCAATCAGGTAGGTCATTTGTTAGGTCATCACGCTGACCCCAATGAGGTAGGTCATTTGTTAGGTCATCACGCTCACCCCAATCAGGTAGGTCATTTGTTAGGTCATCACACTGACCCCAGTCAGGTAGGTCGTTGGTTAGGTCATCACGCTGACCCCAATGAGGTAGGTCATTTGTTAGGTCATCACGCTCACCCCAATCAGGTAGGTCATTTGTTAGGTCATCACGCTCACCCCAATCAGGTAGGTCATTTGTTAGGTCATCACACTGACCCCAGTCAGGTAGGTCGTTGGTTAGGTCATCACGCTGACCCCAATCAGGTTGGGTATTTGTAGGTCATCACGCGGACCCCAATCAGGCAGGTCATTTGTTAGGTCATCATGCTGACCTCTCCACGTGATCACGCTCATCCCAATCAGGTAGGTCATTTGTTAGGTTATTGGCTCATCCTCATTTCGTACAGATCGTTCGTTCTCAAATCGGTACGGTAATTAGCTTTCTATTCGCTTAAGAATCAGGTAGGTCAATAGGTCCTTACTCATGTCAATAGATCTTCATTCAGGAAGATCATTGGCTTAGTCTCCCTTGCTCATTCTGGTTAGGCAAGCCATCGTCTGACGGCAAGAAGGTCAATTGCCCAATCCGATTGGTCAAGGGCTCGTGGCCCTCTCCCTCACACCTCTCCCTCACACCTCTCACACGCACTCCCATCTGACCTATCTCCAGTATCTGGCATAAATCAATGTCGGATAATTAGGAGGCGCACAAGCAGAAAGGTCAAGGGTCTAATTAGTGCGATGGGGAATTTTTTTTTTCATTATAAAAGACTGAAATTGTAAGTTTCAAATTAGGGTTTTTAACTATCTATCCTACCGCTGCTAGTCTATTGTACCCATTAACTTATTTTTAGATTTCTTAACACACAGTCATAAAATACAGACAGAAAGAACAAAACAATAGACAGACAGAGAGACATAGACAAAGAGACAGACAGACAGACAGACAGACAGACAGACAGACAGACAGACAGACAGACAGACAGACAGACAGACAGACAGACAGACAGACAGACAGACAGACAGACAGACAGACAGACAGACAGACAGACAGACAGACAGACAGACAGACAGACAGACAGACAGACAGACAGACAGTCAGACAGACTGACAGACAGACAGACAGACAGACAGACAGACAGACAGACAGACAGACAGACAGACAGACAGACAGACAGACAGACAGACAGACAGACAGACAGACAGACAGACAGACAGACAGACAGACAGACAGACAGACAGACAGACAGACAGACAGACAGACAGACAGACAGACAGACAGACAGACAGACAGACAGACAGACAGACAGACAGACAGACAGACAGACAGACAGACAGACAGACAGACAGACAACTGAATTACAACCCTACACCACAATGACCCGCACGCTTTTGATTATTTATTTTTTTAAATTTCAGCTGCGCCAACTACCTGCAAGGTCAAGCCCTGATGTACTTCAGGGACAGCGTGTACCCCCTGATGTACAGCCCGGCCTACTACATCATCATGTCCCTACAGCAGTGCAACGTCTGGATCACGGTGGCCGTCTCCATGGAGCGCTACGTGGCCATCTGCCACCCGTTCCGCGCGGCCCGGCTTGTCACGCGGCGGAAAACCATCCTCGTCATGATCACGATCGTGATCCTCTCCTTACTCTACAACATCCCCCACCTCTTCGCCTACCAAGCCACGCCCTGCGCCAAACTCCCAGACTCCTCCCCAGTCCAACAAGCGACTCCCCCGAGCTCCGCCGCAAGAACGTGCCTGCGAATCGGAGACACGGATTTCGGTACGACGGAACTCTACAAGCGGTACCGGACGGTGATGTACAGCATCATCATCTACGTGGTGCCCTTCCTGGCGCTGGTCGTGCTCAACACGTTCCTCATCAAGGAGCTGATGACCATGCAGCGGCGGCGCTCCGGCACCAACATCCACGAGGAGAACGAGGCCAACCTCAGCCTCGTTCTCGTCCTCATCGTCATCGTCTTCATCTTCTGCCAGACCCCCGGGCTCATCTCCCAGTTCGACGTCATCAGCACGGACGTGTTCTTCTGCTGGTTGGCTGTCAGCAACCTCCTCTTCGCTACAAATTCTGCTGTTAATTTTCTCATCTACACGGCGTTCGGGAGGAAATTTCGACGCGTGCTGTTGCGTATTTTCCGGCGCGTTTGCAACCGGAAACGCGGGGCGTTTCAGTCAAGCTACCGGACGACCTTGTACACAAAGCACGATCTGGAATCTTCCAGCCTGCGTGAGCACTACTGCTCGTCTCTGAGGTCGCTGCGGTGTCATAAGAACGACCAGAAGTCGCCGGATAAACCAGAGTCGCTTCCCTTACAGGAAACCATGGCAACGAAGGACTGCGTACCGGATGGTAAGAATCTCCAGGAAGTGACGAATGTCAAGGACGTCATCGAGAGCAAAGGTCAAGAAAATCTCGAGTCATGTGATAGTTTTAAGCGTCTCTCGTTCAACGGGATGGACTTCCGGCTTCAAGAGGGGGTTGACTGCCGGCTTCAAGGTGCACCACAGAGGCAAAACGGCGCTAGCTGCCGGCTTCAAAGTGTTACCGACTGCCGGTTTCAAGACGGGGTCGACTGCCGGCTTCAATGTGCACCACAGCAGCAAAACGGCGCTAACTGCCGGCTTCATTGCGTGTCTGACCAGCACAATGGCGATACTTGCCGGCTCAGTGAAGTGTAGAGTGTCGAAAATCTGCCGGCTCGACAGTTAAAACACTTCATCACCACTGCGGAGTTCACACCTGCCGGTTTCACGATACCGAAGATCAGCTTTCTAATGCTGACGTTAACCGGCTTTTACACAGCGTGTGTGTGTGTGGAAGCCTGCTTGACAACGTTTGGGTGGCGTTTAGTGAGTGATAGCCTAACCCATGCTGATACCCGGTGATGTCATGACGTGTCAGTAACTGCTGACATCAGATGAGGTCATTATGTCTGTTACTGTTGACACCAGATGATGTCATCACGTCAATTACTGCTGAAATAACTTCATGTCATACACTTATGTCACTTTTGATTAACACGGATCCTGTCAAATAAGTTGTCGTATGTCTTCAAGGTCACTGACCTTCAAAAGGACTTCATACACTGGCGGCACCATAGAATAGCACCCGACAGTATGGAATTCTGTATGGGTGCTACCAGACAAGGGTTCTCAAAGTCTGCTGCCAGCCCCTCTGTATAGCCAGACATTGGGAATAGAACCTGGTTTAAAACTCGATACAATTTTTAAAAAAAAACAGAAATAATTTCAAACGGTGTTTTAAAATATCAGGATGAAACTCGTATCGTTTCGAACTTCTGTTTTCATCAGAAAAAAAAAACGCTGTACATTTGTAAAAAAAATGTTTTTTTTTTTTTTATGGTAGATCTGAGATTTTGATTAAAATCTAACAAGGAGATTTGAATATTTAAAAATGTTGACGACCTACTACAGGCTAGCAAGAGGTCCAGGAAGACCTAATAAACACGAGGCAGGACCTGGAGACTGTGTTTGTGGTTACCTGGACCTTTGACCTTGCGCCCTGTGTGTATTGGGGAGTGACGATTGAACTACTCACTCTGATAGCAATAACAGAAGGCGTTTGGAGTAGTTGTGTGCAGGCGATTGGAGGATTGATAGGTGACGTCATGCGTCAGTCACGTGTCACAACAATTATGTCACACAGTCACATTACAACAATTATGTCACACAGTCACATTACAACAATTATGTCACAGTTAGTCACAAAACATTTGGGTTGTTATAATTAGTCATGGTATACGTGACATGTCACAGTGAGTCACGATATACGCTGTATGTCACATTTAGTCACAGTACACCAGACCTACTTTGTCACACATTTAGTCAGGGTATGTGTGATATGTCATATTCGTCAGTCACATCCCTGCTACAGACTGTCACAAAAACCAAATCTGCCCCCCACCCCCTCTCAGCATGACGTCACCTATGGAAGCAATGTTTCTTCCAGACTTTTTTCTCCGGGGGGGGGGGGGGGGGCACTTGAAATTTTCGGGGGGGGGGGGGGCGGTAGACTTTCTTCGGGGTTAGGGGGAGGGGTGGACTGTTAAAAGTATATATTTTCTATATAAATTATATAAATTTCATTTCGTTCGGGGGGGGGGGGGGGGCGGTAAATGATGAAGAAATGCCTGGAAGAAACTCTGTATGGAAGCCACCTATTTAATCCTGCTAAAAATGTGTTCGTGTATTTAAATGTTCTGATTGTACACAGAATTAAATTTTGTATGTTTCTAAATATTGGTTGTAGTATTCATTTCTTAATGCACTATAACAAAGATATAACAAAAATTATAACAATAGTTGTTACAACATTATAACCCAAATTTAAGCAGCTTTATTACAGTCTCTCCACCTTTAAAATAAAATTTAAAAAAAAAACTCATTTCGGACCTGATGGATTATAGATGAAGTAGAGTTCACCTATATACGTGGCCACAACCAGGGAATGGACCATTCTATACCCAACATCCTTTCGTTTTCTCCGACTCATGCTGGGCACCCGTTAGAGCTCGATTAACTCAAGCCCAGATTGTAACTAGTGACATTATTTGTTTTTTTTTAAACACTTTTATTTTCAATAAAACAAATTACAACATGTTTGTGAATGTTGATAGAAGCAATCAGGAATTTTAAAGCAACAAAATTTACATACAAGTGGTAAGGTAATAATTATTTACATAATGGCAAATACGTGATGGAGCTAACTTTTATATGCTCAAAAAGCAAAGGGGAGGGGGGGGGGGACAATTGTAGGGGGTTAAATTAAAATAAATAATTTTTTATTTAAAATAAACCGGGAGTGATCTCCCCTAAACTTTCTCGAGTGTTCTTATATAAAACAACAGAGGATGGCAACTCGGGATATAGACATGATTTTTAATCCATTTTAAGTACTTAAACTTTTAAAAATAAATAGAATCACGTAGAAAAAGAATTGCACACCAACTGAACGCCGCGTTGCCGAGTCGGCAAAAGCTCATGGTTGATACATTCGAAAAAGTCTCGCGTTCAACCCTCTGGCAGATAAGGCTCGATCCCTTCCAACACTAAAAATTAAGAACGAAGCCGAAGAAGAAGAACTGAACGCCAAATAAAATGTGCATTATAGTGCGGGATATTATTAGTACTGTATATATTCACTTGCGGTTTTTTTTATTAATCGGAAAAAGCGTAAATTACTATTACCGGTCGACGGAAATGACTCAAAATTTGATAAAAGGCAGAGAATTAGATCTTTTTACTTACATGTAAAATTTCATTTATCTATCTGAAATAGTACTCTAGTTATAGGCTTTCGAAAAATTCAAAGTAGAAAAAGTTCCACTTCCGGTTATCGGAAATTGCTCAAACGTTGATACGGAACTACGATTTTTATATAATACTTATGTATGAAATTTTATCAACCTAGCTGTAATGGTACTAATGTTATCGTGTTTACAGACACAGACACACACACAGACATATGGACAAGATTGCAGAACTATGTTTATCCGACTAGGGGAGGTGTAAAACGTCGAGGTTTTTTTTTTCTGCACGATTACAAGACTTTCTTTGTACTTCGTATATGTATATACTAGAAAGTAAAAACTTTTTTTTTTTTTTTTTTTTTTAAATATCTTTATTTTCAAATAGAAATCATTACATCAACATATACAAATGTGTGTGTGCTTGACATGGTGTGTATTTAACATAGTTCAAACATTAATAAAAATTGTCATTACATGAACAAAATGGTGAACATTATTTAAAAAAAGGATCAACAATTCAAATGAAGATAACCAGAATTAAAGAAATACAAACATGGTTTTTTTTTCCATAATAGTCTTAAGTGTTTTTACAGTTTTGTTGAGAATTTTTTGTAATAGATACAGCGTGAGGAATTAATAGAAAATATTAACAATACGTAAATAAAAGGTAGAAAGCGATAAACAGATGCATAGTAGATTCTAATTGGATTCCAAATGGGTTGAGGGTGGTGTTATCTTTTTTTCTTTTTTTGAAAGAAGATTATTCCCCTTTAGGCCAAACCTAGCGGAGGCGGCAAGCCGTGTTTTACTTACTACTTACTACGTCATGAAAAGACATGTGACACTGCAGTGGGGAGAGAAGTGTAACTGTTGTTCGAGGCTGTATTTTGACACGTTCTATTTTGAAGCAAAGTATAAGAGGAACAGTTCAAGGCCAGTTTTGACACGTCTTAGATATGGCGCTATATGTGGGTCTGCTATAGAACTAGCAGAAACAAAATTGCAGATCAAGGTCAAATTTGACATACTTTAGGCCTAGTAGGGCAGTGGTCTCAAACCAAGGCCATATTTGACACTTTTTGATGAATTTTAAATGAGGGCAAAGACTATACCGGTGCTGTGGGAAAAAGAAGACCTGAAAATATCTGTCCATAATGTCACCTAAACATAATTATTTTAATAGTGCATTTTATATTGTCTGCTGTCCGTCGAAATTGTATGTGTATTGACTGAGTCTTGATCTAAGTCTCGATTTAAAGATTTTATTGATAGCTTTGTCTGTATATTTAAATCCGTCATACTTAATCTTATTTCGTAAATACAAGACCAGCGATCTAAAGACGGCCGTCGCAATCAGTTTGTCGTCGTCATATGTTGCGTCTCCAGTCTTGTTGATTTCGTTAAATGTAATAGCTTTGTTTACAGTGATTGTTTGCTTTGTTTTCAAAATGGTCATTAGTGTTTGTTTTGCTAATCGAATTGTACTGCATTCTAAAAAAATGTGTTTTTCTGTCTCGTGTATGTTTTGTTTGCAGGTCTGGCATGTAATTTTAAAGTTGTTGCGTGGGATTGGGGTTGTGTTAAATATTAACCTATAGCTAATCTCTCTTTCTTTGGGTGTTATTTGCTTCTTATGTAAGTTTCTGAAGGTGTCGCTTATATCTATTGTATTGTACTCTCTAGCCCATTTAATCCTATGGTATAGAGGGGTTGCTTGTTTCTCGACTAGGATGTCGTATATTTTTTTGGACTTTTCTCCAATGATGTTGTTGTTTCCTTTAGATATTTTTAATATTTCTCTGTAGAAGTTCCCTATATCATTCCCTCCATAATGTGGTGTTGTGATATTAACTTTGAGGATATTCTTTATTTTAAGCCCTATATAGTATTGAGCCAATGGGTGGTTGTGTGGCTCTATCCTAATTCTGTCTAAGTGTTTTAACCTAAAGGCATTGATTTTTGTATGTATATCGTGTAGCCCTATGCCTCCATTTAGCTTGCTTTGTATCAAAGTTTTGTTGCTAATGTTTCTAATTGTGTTTTTAAAGATGAATTCCCTAATTTGCTTGTTCGTTGTTTTAATGAATCTGTTAGGTATCACAGAATTTGTTGCTATGAATATTATTTTAGGTATGACATATCTGTTCACTAAGGCGGCTCTGGCGAAGATCGTTGTGTTAATATTTTTGTATTTTTTAAGGCATGATTGGATTTTTTCGGTCACCTTTAGCCAGGTAGCATTGTCTTTAATCTTGTTGTCGCCTGTATAGGTTATTCCGTAAATTTTTAGTTTGTCCACCACTGTGATGTCTGTATTGTAGTCGTCTTTGTCTACCCATTGTCCTGCCCCCATAACCTTCGATTTGTCCGTGTTGATTTTTCCGCCACTGGCTTTACCAAAGTCAATAAATCTTTCCATTACTGTCTTTATGGCTTTCTCAGATTGAAGTAGAAAAGTCGTGTCATCGGCGTAGGCCAATATCTTTTTATCAGCCATGTTTGGTAGTTTTAGTCCTTTTATAGTGATGTCCTGTCTAAGATTCTCTAAGAGGGGTTCTAAACTAAGGATGTATAAAATAGGGGACAGTGGACAACCTTGTCTAACTGATTTTTGGATGTGTATGGCAGTAGAAATGTTATTGTTTATAAGTAAGTGGCTGTGTGCTTTGTTATAGAGTGTTTTTATCCACATGCTGAAGTAATTGCCTAGATTGTAGGCTTCTATTGTTTTAAATAGCCATGTATGTGCTACCCTATCAAATGCTTTCTGTTGGTCTATACTAAGTAACGCTAGCTTGGAGTTTTTTTGTTTGCTGTAATGTAGGATGTCTCGTATTAAGTGTGTGTGGTTCTGTATGTTTCTCCCCTGTACGCTACACTGCTGGTCTGAGTTAATTAGTTTGGGTATGACAGTTTCCAGCTTGCTTACCAAGATTTTGGTCAGTATCTTATAGTCACTATTTAGTAATGATATTGGTCGGTAGCTGGTTATTATTGTTTTGTCTGTGTCGGGTTTTGGGATCAGAGTTATATATGATCTGTTGAAGTCGGTTCCGCAGTCTCTCCTTTTATGCATGTCGCTGTAAGCTGCCTGTAAAATGGGGACGAGGTCTGTTACAAAAGTCCTATAAAACTCGTTTGTCAGGCCATCTGGGCCAGGGGCTTTGTTTAATTTTAGTCCATTGATTGCTTTGAGTATGTCTTCTTTAGTAATGGGAGTGTCTATTTTCTTTCGGTCTTCGTCGTCTGCCTTTATGATATGTTCTAAATATTTGTCTTGGGTGTCGGCATTGACCTCTTCTGATTTAAAGAGTTGTTGATAAAATGTTGTAAAACTTTGTTTGATGGCTTCGGGGTCGGTTGTCACCGTGCCGTCGCTGGTTGTAATGCTGTGGATGTGTTTGTTGTTGGCATGTATTTGCTCGAGTATTATATTGTAGTGGGATGGTTCTTCACTCCCTAAAGTATCTATTCTACTGCGAATGAGGGCGCCTTTGTATTTATGTGCATGCAGTGTGTTTAGTTCTCTCTCTATTGCATCTATTTTATCTCGAGTGCTATTGCAACTAATTAGTGTGTCTAATTGGCTTTCTAAGTATTCTTCTTGTTGTTTCCTTGCAATGTTGATTTCCCTAGCTATTTTAATAGTGAGTTTTGTTATTACATGTTTAAATTCTTCC